TGAAATAAGCATGCTTGTCAAAACAGCATGAAAAAATAAGTCATTTGGTGAAGTTGAGATTTTTGACTTCTGAAGTGCTTATCTGACTCAAATAATCATGTTACTCTAATCAACATCAAAACTTGAGTCATTTGTTGAAGTTCAGATTTTGGTCTTCTGAAGTGCTTGTCTGAGTGAAATAAGATTGTTAGTCAAATCAGCATCAAAAGTTAGGTCTTTTGGTGAAGTTGAGATTTGAGGCTTATGATATGCTTATCTCGCTGAAATAAGCATTTTAGTCAAACCAGCATCAAAAGTTGAGTGTCTTGGTGAAATTGAGATTTTGGTCTTCTATTATTCTTATCTCGCTGAAATAAGCACGTTCGTCAAAACAACATCAAAAGTTGTTTCATTTGGTGAAGTTGAGATCTTGATCTTCTGAAGTGCTTAACTCGCTGATATGAGCATGTTAGTTAAACTAACATCAAAAATTGAATAGTTTGATGATGTTCAGATTTTTGTCTTCTGAAGTGCTGATCTCACTGAAATAAGCATTTTAATCCAACCAGCACTAAAAAGTAAATCATTTGGTGAAGTTGTGATTTTAGCCTTCTGAAGTGCTTATCTCGCTGAAATAAACATGTTATTCAAAACAACATCCAAAGTTGAGTCATTTGGTGAAGTTGAGGATCTGTTCTTCTGAAGAGCTTAACTCGCTGAAATAAGCATGTTCATCAAAGGAACTTTTAAAAATTGTGTCATTTGGTGAAGTTCAGATTTTTGACTTCAGAGGTGCTTAACTCGCTGAAATAAGCATTTCAAAAAAACCAGTACCAAAAGTCAGGAATCTGGTGAGATTTTAGTCTTCTGATGTGCTTATCTCCCTGAAATAAGCACGTCAGACAAAACAATATCAAAAGTTGAGTCATTTGGTGAAGTTGAAATGTTTGATTTCTGAAGAGCTTAAATTGCTGAAATGAACATTTTATTCCAACCAGCATCAAAAGCTGACTCATTTGGTGAAGTTGAGATCTTAGCTTTCAGAAGTGCTTAAATCGCTGAATTAATCATGTTAGTCAAACCAACATCACAACTTGAGTCATTTCGTGAACTCCAGATTTTGGTTTTCTGAAATGCTTATCTGAGTGAAATAAGCATGTTAGTCAAAACTGCATTAAAAATTGAGTCATTTGGTGAAGTTGAGATTTTTGCCATCTGAAGCGATTATCTCACTCAAATAAGCATGTTAGTCAAAACAACATCTAAAGTTGAGTCATTTGGTGAAGTTGAGATTTCTGTCTTCTGAAGTGCTTACCTCATGAAATAAGCATGTCATTCAAACAAACATCAAAAACTAACTCATTTGGTGAAGTGAGATATTGGTCTCCTGAAGTGCTTATCTGAATGAAATAAACATGTTAGTCAAAACAGCATCAAAAATTCGTTCAGATTTGAAGTAGGGATTTTTGAATTCTGAAGTGCTTATCTGACGTAAATAAGCATTTTAGTCCAACCAGCGTCCAAAGTTAGGTCCTTTGGTGAAGTTGAGATTTTTGACTTCTGAAGTGCTTATCTGACTCAAATAATCATGTTAGTCTAACCAACATCAAAACTTGATTCATTTGTTGAAGTTCAGATTTTGGTCTTCTGAAGTGCTTATCTGAGTGAAATAAGCTTGTTGGTCAAAACAGCATCAACATTGATGTCATTTGGTGAAGTTGA